TCTTAAAGCATGAGGGGTGATTCTCGTAGGAGAAAAATCGCACGAGGTTTGCTACTACGAATTCCCTAGCCCGAACAGCTAAATTTTTTCGCATTCCTTGCACAAAAGTGGCGAAGAATTCCCCTAATCATTCCTTCGCTTTCATTTTCATTTTAAGTGAAGGTTGGTTATTGTTACACAGAATTAACATAAAGGGGAGGGGATGGTAATTGTTTTCAGTAGCTCTATGCCAACCTAATAGCCCTCAGGCAGAGAGGCAAACCGCTTGAACAAGCCTCGATGCAGCCCAATCTAACTTTTGATTTTTGAAAAGTATGGAAGTAAAGGGTGGACAGCGTTGGAAAAAGTATAATAACAGGAGTAATAATAGTACAGGAGAGAACTAGGAGTTTTGTGCCCCTACCACTAAATACCGGTAGTACTTCCATGATCTGAAGAGTGGAAGCGGCCAGTTGCCAATAGGCGCAAGTTTGGCCACACCGCTGGTTTTCAGCGAGTTCGCCTTCCAACCTACATATGTTGGGGGCAATCGAGGGATGCACGTTACGGTTTTCTGGCCGCCATTCTCGCTTCAGCGGCCAATAACAAGGGCGGCTCCCGAATATGCCGCGCTTGTTGCTAACTCTGAGCTTGGTTTGGAGGGAATCCTCCTCGTCCCGAGCTCAGCCTAGTCCGGCGCTCAAGCCCGCTGCTGTGTGTTGAAAAATGGATGACCTATTTTTATTCAGGTTTTAAGCTGACAACTGGACAAACTGAGCAAAAAATGTGATTGGGTAATGGTATAAGGAAGGCAATTGAGTTCCCTTCATAGGCAAGATCAAAGGATAAGAGGATCAAAAGTTTTCGCCCGTTGATCAATCCCTTTGTGGGATGCGGCACGCATTCTACCTTCCATTCAAAATCGTAGTGGCTTATTGAATGCGATGTGGCCTATACAATTACTTGCGGGGGCGCAGTCCAACTGTACATGGTCAGTATTCCTTATCCTCCAGAGCAAATCTGTACCAATTTACGGCGTCCCCAGAGCATAGAAGGCTTGGGTTGGCCTGGAGGTTTGAATCTGGGGATTCGAACCACGACCGCGCGAGTGGTTAGCGCGCCGCTTGTCACTATATCACCTCCGCCGTCATGGGCAGATATGGGTGAAAAAAGTTCTGTTGTTTTGTTTTCGGATCGGCATATGGGGTAGCGCCAAAATGTCAGTAAGCACATATTTGCAATGGTCGCGTGCGTATCGGAGAGCGAGATATAGGATAAGGGGCTGGGCTATGAGGATTTTCAGCGAACGCATTCCTTGCTTACAGTCAGTATCCTTAATTTTAGTGCTAGCGTATCAAATGACATAGTTTTGTCCTAGCGGAAGTGTATAACCCTCTAGTAAAATCAGGACTTTGCTTCTCTCCATTTTAGTGCTCTGTTTGGTTTCAGTACCGCTAGTGGTATCCTTTTCAGAGATTTAACGAGGACATCCTTATTTCATGCCTCAAGTTCACCTGATGATTTTTCAGGTATATCAGGGTCCTGTAGAAATCAGTAAGAATGGTACACGTCAACCCACCTTCTACCTTGATGGTTTGGACAGCTCTGGTGTTCAGGTGCTCTATGGAACTGTCGCTGTCAATGGATATAAAGCGGTAATACGTTATCTACGGATCCGTTTCTTCATTCATAAGGAGAAAATGCTACAGTCTTGTTCGCTGCCGATGCCGAGGAATGTCAGTGGGCTGAGTTTCATGCGACAACAATTGATGGAAAACAGACTAGCGTCAAACCAACCCCTGCATCTGACACGCCCCAGCAACCGCAGCGAACAAGACTGTACATAATGATGTTCTGATGCGGGTCTTATTTTCTAACAATGCATAGATTCTTTTCCCTGGAACCTTTGCCTCAGGAGGTGCCTTACTTCGAAGGTGGCTTCGTCTTATTAGTTGTGGATGGTATGTGAATCCACTTCTTCAATTTTCGCCATTTCAAAAAATCACTGGATTTTTTTCCAGCAACAATCCTTGCAAAGATATCAAAGTGTCAAGTTAAATTCATAGTAATCTGCGTTCAAAAATACATACTTATACAGGTCTACAAGGCACTGTACAGCAATGAAGCACAGGTATGGTGGGCGAGAGGTGGAGTTCGCCCACTGGCAGTACCTAGATGCGGATTTTCTGGACTTGAGGTAATCGAATCTTTGTTCCACTAAGTTACCCATAAAATTGTAGAGAGACCAGTTTAGAAACGTCAACCTGCTCGTAGGTTGCATGGAACAAAATGATCCCAAAATTATCTTAAGAAGGGTGGAGGTTTTTGCAGAGATTTCTAGACTCGTCTCAACTCTAACGATTTTAAGGCGGAGGTGGTGTCGTGGCAAGAAGCACACTTGCCACTCGCGCGGTCCTGCGTTCGAACCCGATCGAACCCAGGATCGCGCGACCCAGACCAACCAACCTTCTAACCTCCGGGGACGATAATATGGTACCAGATTTGTTTTGGAGAATAGGAACACCGACTTATATAACGGCTATCCTCCGCAATTCATTTTTAAGCCAAATCGCATTCAACAAGCCACTACGATTCTGAATGGACTCAGAATGCCGCATCCCACAAAGGGATTGGTCAACGGCAAAGACTTCACACTTTTATTATGACAACGAGGCTACGCGGCGGAGCTTGGCGTACTGGCAAGCGACGCGCTTACCACGTGCGCACCCCAGGTGTCTGATTTCGGATCCGCTCCTGCCATCCAAACGTTCCACCGTCCGGAACCGTAAATTGGAACCAGATTTGTTTGGAAGGGTAGAGACGTTGATTCGCACACCGGCAGCCCCCCCCCCTCTCTAAGGTATTGTATAGGCCTTTATCGCATTCTCTGAGCCACTGCGGCTCCGACAGAGAGTAGAGTGTGTGCCGCATCTCTGGAAGAAATGATCAACAGCGAAGATTTATCCTTTCATTATATTACTTACACACATGTTTCGATTGCAGTGCCCCCTCGACATCGCAGCCCAGTATCTCGTTTGGATCATAGTCGGCAGCCTTTTGGCTTTTGTTGTTGTAGTGGTCATCATACTCAGCGTTTGCTATATGATTCAGTGAGTCCTTGGCTTTTGCTGGTGTCACACTCAACCCCCTCTTGTGTTTGAGAAGAAAAGCCTGAAATTGTTCAGATTGAGAAGAAGAGAGGCCGAACGATTGAATCAAATGTGGCGGGTTCCATTCATTTCACTTGAACTTTTAACTAAAAAGGTATAGTCTGATTCTCTTATTCTGCCGAAAATAAGTTCTTTATGGTTCAGAAAGCAGAAAGTCACCGCTCCCTCCAAAGCAGCACAGGATCTACTTCAACGAAATTCAGTGTTGATAAGAAAACCGAGACGCGCAACTTTATTTTCTACGCTTATCAGGTTTGTTTTTGCAGTTCTTCTTTTTGGGAGTGGCTAGTGGTGCCTTTTTGGGACCAGCCTTGAACGATGAGCTTAGTAGTGCAAGTCATAGTGAGCCAACCGTAACCATAAGGTACTTACAATTGTCGCGCGCGACGCCGCGTGGTCCTACCGTCACACACGCCATAGAATTTTAGCGGTCCATATTTAGCAGGGGATTGTCACTCAAAAGTAACTAGACCTACCAGATGAAAACTATGGCAACCACTTAGCTTCACTTGATTTTCATATCTTCAAAACTGAGCTTTTGGAGTTGGTACTGACGTGAGGACTTTGTTATTACCTTCAACTTCATGTGCTTTTTGAAGAATAGAATGTTGTGGCGCGCGATGAAACACGAGCGAGAATAAGCATGAGTCCTGCAAGACTGCTTGGAGATGAGAAAGGTACGCTGTTGTATAGCTTGTCTATTCATTTAACATTGATTATTCAAAAGTCTGGCTACGACACGCTTTTGCGAGCACAAACACCGCTCTAGCTAAAATAAACCATTTTTGGTTATCAGTTCTTATGGTAACTGTCAGGCTGTTCCCACTTCTCACCAGTATTTTCCCTAGGGATCTCACGGCAGAAAACACTGCTCGCTTTGATTTTCGCTCAAAGTACCGATCCTTTAAACCAATCCTAGGCCCGTTCACGACAGTCTGTCAAGCTAGCGTCCTAATACTGCATCGATCCGCCCTGGAGGCCTTCCAGATCATCCTCCAATGCCTCCTCCCTACCACTCCTTGCATACCCTCATGTGCGGCAATTAAACCCCTGACACGGGTTCACAAATGTTGGTGAGCAAAGATAATTCTTGTGTCAGTGATAGATCCGCTACGTATTTGGAAGCTAGCTGGTCTTTAGCGCGTAGTCCGACGCTTCTGCAACATTTGGGCGTGAAAGAGACCCTCAGTTGGAATCGCGTCGGTACAGGCCCGACCCATTTTGCGGGGCTCAGGCAGCGTGCCCCGTGTACTGGTAGCGCCCTCCGTGAGTGCTACCAATCCACGCCCAGTAAGACACCCCAGTCGGCGGCAGCTCACCTACGGAATAGGGTAGGAGCGGCATTTTGCAAACTTTGTTACTTGAGCCATCTCGTGAGGTTACGAAACTTGTTAGGTTTTAACCATGGTGGCCCGACGAGCTGCGCTAGTTTCACAAGAGTTACGTTATGTTACACCAGAGTAAGATTTGTAAACCGAATCAGGTGAAGCAAGCGAATGTCAAAATGTCTCCCCCACGTCGCCGAATTGCGCCCCTATCTTTTGCAGGGATCATGACTGTATGTATGTAATGTCGCTGCTGATAAGAGAATAGGAAGAATGACTTTTACCACAAGTAATGAGAGCCTACTGGTACTTGAGTGGCAGACCTCTCTATCAGTTTTGTCAGTGGTTACCACTTCCTGCCGCCCACTACCAACTGGTTCCTGGCCCACCTAGCAAGCAGCCACAATTCTTGTCCAACGAGTATATTTTTTCGCTTTCTTTGTTGAAAAAACTTGCAAAAAATTTGAATTTAAAAATATATAAGCCTTTTACGGAGCAATAGCTTGGGAAATAGAATGCAATTAAGATGAGAGAAATGCAGCACGATAACCTCAATCGTTTCCTCGGATTGTGCCTCGATGGGCCACAATTACTGTCCATATGGAAATATTGCAATAGAGGAAGCCTGCATGATGTGATCACCAGAGGAGCGACCACGATGGACAACATTTTCGTATTCTCACTGATACGAGATATCGCGAACGTAGGTTACTTTGCGCAATACCATCCCTCTCGATTTATTGCATGAATTTCATGTACATCTCGCTTTTTTATCGTGCCTCTCTGTTCGAAGGGTTCTCTTTGAAAAGGGTGAATCATCTACAGTCCTGTGCTGAGCGCATGTCGGGGCGTATCAAGGGCGAGTTTGGCGAGCCTCCAAGCCGTTCTCCACTAATTGCTGAAGCGAGTAGGCGACAACAATTGGAGGAGACGTGGCTTATCTCGAGCCAGACCCCGCTCCCTATCTCACACGTCCCAAATTCCGCATCAGAGAAGGTTGTTTATAAACCTCATATCCCGTTGATGGAATGGGCGTGGCTGCGAACTCGTTCGAACGTGGCTGCGTCTGTGCTTTGGAGGTGCATTGCAGCTTTGTGACAATTGTACCACGTTTTGTCAAGCAGAATAGATGACGGATGTTTCAAATAGAATCATCCAAGACGCATTCAAATGAAGCACGCAGCCACGCCCTCCCCATTTCCGAGATATGGGACCTATGTAGTATATGGTCGCAGAGACATCAATGTTCCAGACTTACCGTAATCTCTTTCTCAAGACCTCTGAGCAGCTTGAACGCCCGAGTAAGGTGGTCACAATGAAAAGAAAGCGGAGATTTACCCTTAGATCGAGCCTTGTTTGTCCTTGAGTGATGCATGGCAAGGCTGCTCAAAGAGAGCAAGCCGGAATCGAATAATGAAAACCATGGCTATTTTTAAGCACCTTAGCCGGGCTTTGAAGCTGCGCCAATGTTCTGAGCTTTTTTCTTTATTTGTCACCATTTACCTACAGTTTGTACCACCGTGAAAGCCTTCATGAATGAAATTCAATACTCGTGATTTTTGAGACCAATAAAGAGAGTCATTTTTAGGGTTTGGGCTTCATTCACGGCTCGTTTTTGGAATTTCATGGTTTTCTGACATCTAAATGCTGTCTCGTCGACGACCGTTGGCAGGCAAAAGTATCCGGCCACGGTCTAAGAAAAATACGCCAGTACGATAAGCGCCTTCCAGAAGGTTAGTTCTATGTATGAGCACATCGCTTTTTTCCTCAGAGACATCCATTTTCTTCAAAGACATCACTTTCGAAAAGACCTACTGTGGACTGCACCAGAGCTTTTGCGTAAGGATGATATCGGTGGCTCTGCGGAAGCCGACATTTATAGGTCTGTTTTTTTCACCACATCGAAGGTGTTGATTGTGATGCATTCGCCTCAACACAGTGCGACTGTGGTTGATAACGTCGCAATCAGTCGGGGCGATGTCAGAAAGGGCGGAGTGATCCCACCTCCTGCCCTGTTTGCTCTACCAATAGTGATAGGTTGGTGATCGACTAAAAATCAGTGGAAATGCCGCGGCTAAGCTTATCCAATCTCTCTTGAAAGAACTCCCAAGTAATTGCGACGCTACCGGGTCTACTGCCTAAGTTCCGCTGATCATTGAATAATCAAGCTGATGCCAGTGACGTCCGCAGTCGCCTCTATTCCGAGCAGCGGGGCAAGCTTGTTTATTAAACTCTCACTCTCACAGACAAAGCAATTTTTTTGCTCGCATAGAGTTGCTTGTAGTTCACGGGTGGCTGCCGTGCTAGCGTCCGGGGGATCCGCCGAAATTAGCAAAATGGGAACGCGAATCGGACTCCGCAAAATCGTACTCAACAGAAGCCAAAAATCGCACCTGACACAAAGGGCACTCAATTCCTTATCATGTCGGTTATATGAGGAGACATTAGTTGAGACATTAGTATATGCTGCGGTTCGTGGACGTTATGAGCGAGCCCCCCCCACCTGACGAACAGTCCTGACTGGCCGTTCGAATCTGAATGATGAAGGGTACAGGAAAATCCGATATCCCCGTCATCAACTCTTGGCTTCGCTTGACTTCATACGAGCTTCGCTGCTGCATTCGACGAACTGATACGGATCGAGTACTTGCCGCACATCACTGCCCGCTACGCTGCACGCGATGGCGCTACAAGTTGCGATTCTGTCCGTCTCCTACAGTTTCCAGCGCAAGCGTAGTCCGCACACCTACCTTCCATGCCATTCGAGTACCTCATGCTTTAGCTCCGAGAATACCGATTATGTAATAAAGAGAGTGATGTTGCAATGATACTTTCG